CATGATTCTCCTGCTCCAGACAGATGCAGGTTAAGATCCTCCCTGGTAAGCCAGCTCGTGAGCTACACAGAATATTAGAAATGGGTTAGATTAATATGTAAGAGCTAGCCAATAAGAAACTGGAACTAGCCGGGCCAGGCAGTGTTTGAAAGAATACAGTTTCCGTGTAATTATTTCTGGGCATAAACTAGCCATGCGGGCGGCCGGGTGCCGGGGACACAGCCCTGCCGCCTCCGCTCTTAAATCAACAGGAAAATTCTAGATCAGACTAAATGCTCAGCTCTTCTAGGATTGGGTGTTAGATTCTCCCCCATTGTATCCATCAGGGTCGATGGGCTGTGTCCATTAGTGGTAGATGGGGTATTTTCATGTGAATCCTACTAGCATGATAAGGAAGGGAAAGAAGCGGAAGAAGCAGAGAAGCAGGAGACAGGCCACCCTCCTCACCTTCAGTAAGTTAGCTGTCAGTCCGCTCCAGAGGCCCAGGACCCCTTGGGTCTTCACTATCTGCCGGAAGCAGTCCACTGCTCCTGAGAAATGGACATCTACTCCTCCATGATGGGGAAGATAAGGACTCTGAGCCTGGCAGGAAAAGAAAGGTATTAGGGAGTGGTTGAAGTACTCGAAATTTAATGTTTGACACAAAATGAGCAGGGTTTTGGGTATGGATCTGTGTCTAGATGGTGGCAAAAAAATAGTAACTTCAGAGTTCATCTTCTTCCATGGTCTTAGAATGATGTTGGTGGGTCTTCTGTCAATGTGTTATTTTATTGGTTAATAAAGAAACTGCCTTGGCCTTTGATAGGACAGAAAATTAGATAGGCAGAGTAGACAGAACAGAATGCTGGGAAGAAGGGAAGTGAGACCCAGACGATATAGCTCTCCTCTCTAAGATGGACGCAGGTTAAGATCCTTCCTGGTAAGACACCATCTCGTGGTGCTACACAGATTATTAGAAATGGGTGAATCAAGATGTGAGAGTTAGCCAGTAAGAGGCTAGAGCTAATGGGTCAAGCAGTGTTTAAAAGAATACAGGTTCCATGTAATTATTGTTGGTAAGCTAGCTGGGAGCCAGATGGCAGGAAGCGGCCCGCCGCTCCTATTTCTACATTAGAAGGGAAAAAAAAAACCTTTTTTTTGAGATAAGGTTTTCTGTGTAGCCCTGGCCGTCTGCTGTCCTGGAACTTGTTCTGTAGACCAAGCTGGTCTCGAACTCACAGAGATCTGCCTGCCTCTGCCTCCCAAGTGCTGGGGTTAAAGCCACCACCACCTGGCTAGAATAAAAGTTTTTTGAAACAAAGCCTTTCTTATGTAACCCAGTTTGGCTGGGAGTCACCACACTTCTGTTTCAGCCTCTTAAATGCTGAGATCACAGGTATGAGCCACCATGCCTAATTTAGAACAAATAATTGATTTGCTATAGGACCATGATGCCTTGCTCACATATTTGTGGTGTATTTTGCTTAAAAGAAAGCAGGTATTTTGGATAGACTCAATTTTATACCTGCATTCCATCCCAGCCTATGTCCAATGGACCTGTTACATACTCCTATGCCTCTAACCTTTTTGAGTTTTATTTATATTTATTTTACCTATATGGGAGATTTGCCTGCATGTATGTCTGTGTACCATGTACATGTGAGGGCATCAGACCCTCTTAGAATGGGAGTTATAGATGGTTGCTAGCTGCAAAGTGAGTACTAGGAATTGAACCTGGGTCCTCGGGAAGAGCAGTCAGTGCTCTTAACCACTGATCCATCTCCTCAGCCCCAGACTGTAACCTTCTTTTGGTGTCGTCTTGACTCCTTATCTAAACTGCTTCCTCTTCTGGGAAGCCACCAAGTAGGGGCTTTTTTCCCACAGCACAAATGTCACAGGGTTGAGAACAGGGGGACTGTGGCATTGCTGTCCGCTTCACTCTCATGACAAAAGTGCCCATCTGGGGCCCAGGCTATTCTACATCCTTTTCCTGCTGTCATCTCTGGACCTCCTGGCCATCCTCTACTTTTACTAGAGACTGGCACCTGGTGGTCAGGTTTAGCCCAGCCTCACCATCATCTTAGGAAACTTTAAAAAGAAAAGGGAAAAAGAAGATGTTGAGTGGGGAAGGGGAGAGATGCTGTGGGGATGGTCCAGGGAGAGTTGGAAGGAGGGAGGGAGGGGTGGATGTGACCATGATACTTGTATATGTGTATAAACTTTTCAAAGAATAAGAGAATGCAAAAAGGACAGTCTATGCCAATTTCAGTCTGGCCCTCATTCTCAGTTTGGTCATCTTTTCTTCGGGCACTCCATGGATTGCATAACTTCCCCCCCCCCCAGAACTACTGATAAAATTCTGTCCTCATCTAAATGTTCAATTCCTGAAAGGAACGCTCTTGTCTCTTTAATCATGGTACTTGTGAGGCTGAGGCAAGCTTCCCCCACAGGTGGATATACCCACCCCCTTGTACATGATTTAAATGAAAACAAATCTATAGAAAAAAATAAAAAACAGGCTGGAGGCTGGAGAGGTAGCTCAGTGGTTGAGAACACTTGCTGCTCTTGCAGAGGGCTAAGTTCAATTCCCAGAACCTTACATCGGGTAGCTCAGAACTGCCTGTAACTCCAGCTCCAGGGTAATCTAATATTCTCTTCTGATCTCCGTAGGCATCCACACTCATGGGTACATAGCCACACGCAGACATACACACACGCATAGAATTAAATAGAAATCCTAAAGCAATCACTGAATACAACAGCATGTATAACTCCAGAGGCACGACATGGAGTGCACTATTTTCAGAAGGGAACACCACAGGGATGGAGAACACACGGAATGTTACCATCTTAGGGGTTCTCCTGGAGGCCTTGACTGTAAAGGGAGTGCATGAGAATTTGGGGATTGACTGAACAGTTCATGTCTTCATTGTGGTGGCAGTCACACAAATCTTTACATCCATCTAAAACTTCGAGAACGCCACACCAAAACAAGCTAATTTGACTGTTTGGGAATAAGGGAGGGGGCAGCGCTCTGAAAGGTCAAGTTAGGATTGGAGGAAGAAAATGTGTTTTCCGTGGTGGATGGGACTTGAATGTATTCATCTGTTAAGGAGGAAAGATGCCCAAGAGGAACGGAGGTGTGATGCCCAGGGCACCACCAGGAAGGAGGGAATAGCACAAAGAAACAAAAGGTTGAGTTTCTTTATCACTCCACTTTCCCCAAGAAAGAGCAAACCAGGTTATCCACCTAGGGAGAAGGTGGCGGGTGCGCAGTGAGGAGTCTGGTAAGATTTGGAAAAGCTGTTATGAAGATGTGCCAAGGACACTTGAAGACTAGCGGTGCAGATTTGAGGCCATGAACTTTCTATGTGCCCCCAGCTGCTCTCCCAGGCATCCATCTTGAGCAGTGTGAATTGGAGGGAGTTTGTGGGGTTGAGGATAAGCTTAGGGGACAAGTGGCATGGATTTCAGAATGGGAGTCAGAAAGCCACAAGAATGAAAACCAAGGGGCCTGGAGTTGTGGCTCAGTTGGTAGAGTCCTTGCTTGGCACTCTAACAATGCCTTGGGCTCCTTCTTTGGCACCACATGAACTGGGCATGGGGATACACATCCATAATTCCAGCACTGGGGAGCTGAAGGTAGCAATGTCAAAACTTTAAGGTCATTCCCAGAATATCAAGTTCAAAGACCCTGTCAAAGAAAAGAATGATAAGGGGCTAGAGATAAGTACTGTCAGTAAGATGTCTATTGTACAAAGTCTGGTTTCAGTTCCCAGCACCCATGGAAAACGATGGGCTTGGTGACTCATGTTCTTCTAGCACAGCCTACTTGCCTAGTGCAAGGTCTCAGAGAGACTCTCACAGAAAACAAGGTGGATGGCTTCAGAGGAGCAACACCCAACATTGACCTCTGGCCTCCACACACATGGGCCAACATGTGACATGTACCAACACAGACAAACTCACAGAGTGGGGGAAGAGGGAGGGAGGAAGGGACACAGAGAACATGGGAACAAGGAACCTGAAGCCAACAGGATGCTGGTGGCCTGGACATAAAGGAGCAGGCAAGCGAGCAGAGGCATTAATGATCCGAGGGACTGTGATGAACAGGACCATAAGGCATCTTGGTCCTTGATGTGGTCTTTTGTTGATTCTTTGGTACCTTTTTTTTCCTGTAGTGCTGGGGATTGATTCCAGGACCTTGTATACATTAAGCAAGTCCTCTTCTGGGTTCCTTCAGTCCTCTGTTGTGTTTCCGGTAAATAGCCCCTTCCTTGATTTCATTCAGCTTTCCTGTCCCATCCATCTCCTCATCTACATCCTGACTGTGCCTCCCTGCAGGGCTTGCTACTTTCATGTCACATACTAGGCACTGGAGCTAGACAGCTTGCAACAGCAGCCTATGACCTCCAGCAAATGCCTTGATCTGTCTGAGCCCCCCTCTTTCCCCTGTAAAATGGAGTAATAATAACATGTACCTTATAGGATTGTTATTCATATCAAATAATTTAGCACATGCAAAGTGCTTAGAACTGGACTTGATATAGAGCAGGCACTAAATAAGTAACCACCATCATTAAGGTCATTATTACCATTTCTAAACTTGGAGAAGAGACAAGTATGCTGAAGACCAAACCAACCTGCTAGACTGGAATGCTAGCTTGTTCTTAAATTATATCCTACTAGCAAAGAGAACAGAACGTAGTAGATGGCTAGTCACAAGGGCCTGAACTTAAGGTTTCTTCTACACAGACCCAGGCAACTCTCTAGGCTAAGTAAGATGTAGCCACCGGCTTCAGGTCCCCAACCCTCGGGGGGAGCATGGTGGATCCTGCACTATAACATCACCTAAAGAGATCAGGAGAACTAGGCCCCGCTGGCCACTAGTGGTATAGCCTTGACAAGTCAGTGACGGCTTTGGACCTTAGTTTCCTCCCATGGCTATGAAGGAGGCTGAAATGACCCTGAAGACCCTTTCCAGTTTACGTAATCCTTGCAGCAGGCCCAACTCCACGTGCCTTCCTGCCATTTTTCTCTGTCTCGTCAAGTTTGTCATAGGGATCAGAAGAACTAGCATTTTCTCAGGGAAATCTCAGATACTGAGCTTATCAAACACTTTTTGGTTGCCATGTTCTTCATGGCACTTGGTAAGGATTTGTAATGGTCTATTGTGTATCATTATTTCCTGTGTTCTCTCGGTAGCTCCCTATCCTGCTGAGACTGCAAATACCACATGGCCAGTGACCACATCTTTCTTGACATGGGTCTTTCCCAAAGTCTACCAACATTTCTTTCACACTGTAGGTGCTTACTATATATTGGAAAAAAAGGGAAAAAAAAACCAAACACTTCAAAGCTAAGCATTTGAAAGTTTCTAAAATTTCCAGACCTTTCAGAAGAGGTAGCACTGGCTAAATATTCTTTCCATGAATACTGAAATGGTTAAGCAATACTTACAAAGATACTGCCTTAGTTAGGGTTCTATTGCTGTGAAGAGACACCATGACCCTGGGAATTCTTATAAAGGAAAACGTTTAGTTGGGGCTGGCTTACAGTTACAGAGGTTTAGTCTTTTATCATCAAGGTAGGAAGCATGGTGG